GCGAGGTGAGGCGGCCCGGGCGGCTCAGGTGGCGGGCGGCGCTGCAGCAGGTGACGGGGCCGCAGGGAAGGCGGCTGGGCCGCAGGTAAGGGCGGCGAGGCCGCAGTTGAGGGCGGCGGGGACCGCATGTGAGGGTGGCGAGGCCGCAGGTAAGGGTGGTGAGGCCGCAGTGTAGGGCGGCGGGGACCGCAGGTGAGGGCGGTGAGGTCGCAGGTAAGGGCGGCGAGGCCGTAGTTGAGGGCGGCGGGGACCGCAGGTGAGGGCGGCGGGGCCGCAGGTAAGGGCAGCGAGGCCGCAAGGACGGCGCGCGGGGTCGACGGGTGGCGTAAGGCGCCACTATGGCGGCGCGCGGGGTCGACGGGCGGCGCAAGGGGGGGGGGGGGGGGCGCTAGGGCGGCGCGCGAGGTCGATGGGTGGCGCAGGGGGCCGCTAGGGCGGCGCGTGGGGTCGAAGGGCGCTGTAGGGAGCCGCTAAGGCGGCGCGCGGGATCGACGGGTGGCGCAAGGAGGGGCCGCTAGGGCGGCGCGTGGGGTCGACGGGCAGCGCAAGGGGCTACAAAGGGCGGCGCGACGGTAGGGAGGGCACACGGGGCGCGCACGAATCGGTCTAGTCTAAGGCGCGCTCCGGGCAGGAAAAAAAATCGTCGTGGGCCCTAGGTAGCGTTCCCACTAGGGAATCTGCTCTGAAACCATGAGAAGAAACGAGAATGAATGAACTATGAATGAAGTGAGTACAAGTACTAACCCTAATTGGGTTGTACCCCTTATAGGCTACCCCACTATAGCCTACACAATAAGCACAAGCTATATGTTCTGACAATCTGTAATTAATTGATAGTATACCACTTCAAGAACATATTATTCTTTTTATAGAAATACCACTGCATTGTATTCTTTGTAGTCGATGAATGATTTTTCTATTATAAATAATTAGAATCAGTATATCCAAGTAAAATATCTACGTAAGATAAAATGGTTAAGTTTAATTTGCCTATCGGTGACTATATATAAAAGTAAATAGAATATTATTAGTTATTTCATTGAATGAGCTTAGTATATAGATGTTAAAACCAGCAAAATTTATAGTATCTCTGGCGCGCAAGAGCAATTCCATTTTTTCGACCAATCAGAAGTTCCTCGCGTAACGAAAATATGGAGGTACCATAAAATGTCGAAATTCGCGACTGTTTGTGATATATCGGAACTTCAGCATAGCTGCCCGAATTTGTAGGTGAAGGGCGAGAAATTAGGGTTTGGGGGGGCTCGCGAAAACGTGGTCCATCCAATTTTGGGAAATGCCCACGTGGCGAGGTCGGAGTAATATGGGTTGACCCAGTTAAAAGAAACGCAATTACTACCAGTAGGCGTTTTTTTGCCGTGGTTCTGGCTTGTTGTGAGGTTTTAGCCGTCTGGTTGTGGGGGAATGCCTGCGACTGGTTTGTTTCTGGGGGAATCCACCTTGTCGGTTCGGGGGGCAACAGTTCTGTACAGTAGCAACTTTCGCCAGGCTCGAGAGAGAAATGCTGCCCCCGATGGCCTTACGTGTGATCCACGAGGTGATAAGGGGTCAGGAAGAGCCCATCCCTACAACGCAACAAGGGAAAAAGACATTTTTCCCACCGCAACCAATCGACCGCGATGCGTTGAAGTCATGGGCTGGGATAACTGGCGAACAAAGTTTTGGTGCGAAGTAATGAGTGCAGCCTATCTGCCCATAAAATAACGGGAGTTTATACGCATGTCGAACTTGACATGTTCGTCATTTTCTTGAGAATCCCAAACCTCGTGCCTCGAACCAGAACAACGATTCTGTCACAACAACCATAATCTTCTTGGTGGTTTGGGACTCCTTCCCGAGCCTCTAAGGACGTGTCTCACTCAGTTCGCCTTTGATTGCCTCAACCAGACGCGATCAGTAACTTCGAGGAAGGTATGAAGACGATTTCAGGCAATCGGGGGCAATCACTTGATCATGATCAGCTGATCGCCCCAACACGATCAGCCGCCTAAAACAGCCCAATCAAACACAATCCCACACAATCACCGACGATCGCCCGATTGCATTTAATTGCGGTACTAAGCGACGCTGGCGAACTGTTTTAATATCTGACATCTTTTCGTTTATTCGTCGTGAATACCCCGCCGTCGCGAATCTGGAAATGCAGCGTTTCAGGGCACCAGTTTTTGCGAAATTGCAGGGAAACACTGAACTCGTTATTTCCATGCCGAGGCGTTCGCAGTCGCCAAAGTGGGCCCGAAAGTGGCAGGAGGTTTAAACGCTTGTCGAAATTTTCGGGGAAAATCTTAACTGATCGGGCGGCGCGAGCTATTCAAACAACGGCAACCCGATCAGATCAGCCCCGACCAGATTACAGGCGACCAGAGGCGAACCGTGACACGTCCTAACACACCCCAATGTTTTCTCTCAGAGCCCGAATCAGCAGATTTCCCTCGAACCAAGCTTTGTTTTCGCTATAATGCATGTAGCCATGATGGGGAAAAAAGTCCACCACTTCCTTCCGCAGCTCTGGTCCGCCCTTTCCTGTCCTGTCAAGCGCAGCAGGTGTGGCTCACCGCCGAGACATCGAAAATCACGAGCCTCGAGTCTACCTGTGGCGGAGGCAGGGCATTGTCCATTCAAGGAGCGCGTGCGTGCTCAGTGATAAGCGCACGGCAGGAAACCCCAGCCCAGAAACGAGCTCCCTACCTCCGGTCCTTTCCTCCCCCCCACCACTGGCCTTTCTTCCGAATGACCAACCAACCACACCTCCTTCTCCCCCCAACCCCCCCGGCTCTCATGCGCCCGGCAGGGGAGCCAATCCGCGGAGCCCAGCAACGGAAACAAGGAGCGGGGCGAATAGCGAAGCCCAGCAGCCGAGCTCATTAGCAGAGCAGAATCCATCAGCGGAGCACATCGGTGGAGCCCATCGGCGGAAGCCAGCAAACCCTAGGCGGAAACGTCCAGGTTGTGGTGGTTTTTCCAGGCAGAGCTTGGCTCTTCAGGCAGAGCCTTGCTTCCCCGAGTGGCACCCACCCAATATCGAGGCTCTCTTCTCACTCCTCACTCACACCCATTATCAATATCAAGCCTCAGATAAGAAGCATTTGCTCACCTGCCAAGATCTCTTATCTGGTGTTGCCTGATTGTTTTTTGAAGGCTCTCTTGCCTGTGGAAAGAACGTATCACAGTCAGGCCTTCTGTTTCCAAGATTTAGTAACATGGACCACGGAGCTTCGCAGTTGACTCTAGGCACGCATCAGCAACCTACGGCTCCTGCTGCAGCGTACAATCCGTCTCCAGGCCAACTTCAACCTACCGACGGGACATCTGGCGGCGGATGGAAACTGCATCCGCACCACCAAGAGCAGCATCAACATCAGCATCAGCAACAGCATCCGCAGGATCAGCATCAGTATCATCAGCATCAACATCAGCAACAACACCATCAACATCAGCATCAGCAACACCAGCAACATCAGCAGCAACAGCAGATGCAGCAGCAGCAGCAGCACCACCACCACCACCAGCTGCAGCACCAGCACCAGCAGCAACACGCTCCTGTTTCTCAAGCCGCTGCTTCACAGAATGGCTATGTCACAGGACCGACCGGCGGAGTACCAAATTCTCCACAAGCTCTGATGAACGCATTAAGTCTCTTGCAACAAGTGAGTCATATTTTATACATTTCGTATCGTCTGTCAAATTATTGTTTTTGTCAAATTATTGTTTTCCCTGATAGTTTACTAACGAGTTATGGCTCAATCTTTTGTTTTGGCAGAACATTGGCGCGTTGCAAGCGCTCATCCCGCTGATGGCGCAGCAGCAGCAGCAGCAGCCGTCCGATACGGCGCAAGTGCAGCAGCTCCAGCAGCAGCAAGCCGCTGCCTCCGCCAGCGTCGCGTCTGTCATCTCTCAGCTGGCGCTCGCCGCTTCCAACATTCTCCCGCAGATGGGGATGGCACCTCCCGTTCTTCCGCCGCAAATCGGAATGGCTCCTCCCGCGGCGCCGGCGGTCCAGCAAATGGGGTTCACCACCCCCGTGAACTCCGCCGCTAATCCCGCTTCAAAGCTCCTGGTTTTACCTCAGAACGCCGTTCCGCAACAGCAGCAGCCGCAACAGCAGCAGCCGCAGCAGCAGCAGCAGCCGCAGCAGCAGCAGCAGCCGCCGCAGCAGCAGCAGCCGCAGCAGCAGCAGCCGCAGCAGCAGCAGCAGCCGCAGCAGCAGCAGCAGCCGCAGCAGCAGCAGCAGCAGCAGCAACAGGAGGTTGCGTCGTCGACTCCTGTTAACCGTCAGCAGCTTTTAATCTCGTCTCTTGGGGCCTCCAGCTCGCTGCTTCAACAGCAGGCTGCGCAACTGACGCTCGCGACGCAATCACCGCCGTACGATCATTCGCCACGGCAGCAATCTGTAATCAAGCTCGTCCCGCCTGCTCCCGACGAGTCCGATGACATGGCAGCGAAGCTTCAGCTGAGCCAGCCAGGCTTTGCGCCGACTATGGCGGCTCCGCAGCAGGCAAAGGCGGCGGTTCCACCAAGGCCAGTCGCACACCTCCTGCCGCCTCAGGCGCAGGTGTCGCAGGCGCAGGCGCAAGCGCCGGCGTTGGCGCGTCAGTTCCCGAAGCAAGGCGCTGTGGACAGGCTGCTCGGCGGAGCTATCCTTCTCACGCAGAAGCGCAAGCTCGGTTTTGACGGCGCCGGAACGGCAATCGTTGCTTCCGGTGCCACTGCTATCCCCGGCAATGGCAGTGTTTCTGGTTCGGAACTGGCGCGCAAGCGCAGCAAGGAGAATGTGCGGGAGGACAGTGGATGCAAGCAGCGAGGCTCACCTGACGGCGACGAAGACGACGCGCTACCAGGTAAAAAAGGATTCCATGCTGGGAGGTCTTTGTTGGAGGACTTGCCTGCGTTTGAGTCTTCGACTCTGGCCGCTTCGTATGCAGTTGACCGTGGTGCTTCAGCTATTAACTTATGCTTGGTTGTATGTTATTCGTTCTTTGCAGAAGGTTCCTACGATGTGATCGAGATGGACCCTGTGGAACTGCTAGCGGAGCACACCCACTTCTGTGAAATCTGTGGCAAGGGTATGCGCCCGCATACGTGTGGTTGATTGAAGATTCCATTTGGCATCACGTTTTTTCTTGTTCGAGCGTCCACATCCTCTGTTAATTATGTTGCTGCTTTCTGACCTAGTTTGTTACCTTTGCAGGATTCAAGCGAGACGCCAACCTCCGCATGCACATGAGAGGCCATGGCGACGAGTACAAGACGCCAGAAGCCCTTGCCCGTCCCGACAAGCACCTCGCAAACGTTGCCCAGCGCCCGAAACGTTTCAGCTGCCCGTTTGTTGGCTGCAAGCGCAACAGTCAGCATCAGCGCTTCCTCCCGCTGAAGACGATGCTGTGTGTGAAGAACCACTACCGCCGCACCCACTGCCCCAAGATGCTCGCATGCTCCAAGTGCGGTGCAAAGCGGTTCTCGGTGGTGGCGGACCTCAAGACCCACGAGAAGCACTGCGGGCGCGACCGCTGGCTGTGCTCCTGCAGCACGTCCTTCAGTCGCAAGGACAAGCTGCTCGGCCACCTCGCCCTCTTCAGGGGCCACCGCCCCGCCAACCCCTCCCTCACTGCTGCCGACGACGGCCCTGCAGGCGCCATTGATGATGGTACACGAGTTGAAGCTCCTGCGATTGCTGGGCCTTCAGTGCCTGCTCCTCCTCAGGTACCCACGTGTTCCCACGTGTACCAGTAGCTTTCTGAGCCGTTTGTTCAATTTGTGAATCATGTCTCTCTTTAGTTGCACTGTGGTCTCATGAAATTCGCACTCTGTTTGTTTGTTCCAGGTGATGGAAAGGGAGAGGGAAGTGGTGGTGTATCAGCAGGGGACTCCGGCTCAGCTCACTCTTGGCCATGCTGCTGCTCCACCTGCTGCTCCTGGGGTTCAAGGCACTGCACCAAATGGTGCTCCTGGTCCTGGTCCAAGGGTGGATGGTGGTGGTGGTGGTCAGGCGATCCTGTTTGGCATGTCTGGACCCAGCCTTGTTACAGCGGATCTACTTGGTTCTGCTGAGAGGCAAACACAACAGTAATGACGTGTTAACCACTTCTCATCTCCTGTTCTGCTGTTTTTTTTGCTAGGGCATGCTTGAAAGGCATGCCCAAGTTGGTCGTATATTGTATTAGCGTGGATAGGTTTTGTTATGACAGTCTGATTTAACGTTTGTACATATAATATATCTGTATGACATCTAGCTTTGTGAGATTAGATTCAACTATGTGCCGATTTGAAGAATAACCATATGGCTTATTGGAATGTATGGGTCAAAACAGAAGCGTTCTTGTATGGAAGGATGTCCGCCTGGCTGACATCGCAGAGTCGGTGTGGAGAGCAGCAGCTAGGAAGGTAGCACCGAAAATGCGGTGTTGACAAGTCGCATGGCGGAAACTGCCAACACATCCCGCCAAAGACTCAGAGGGGTTGAACCAGCAGATTTCTGGATTTCGCTAGCATTGTCGCAACCGCCGGCCATTTCGCCAAACCTCCACCGACACACAATTCAATATCTTGTTGGATGCTCTGACTGGACTGTTACTCTCACGACAGACTAGGGCTTAGTTACCGCCTTACTCGCCGTCCTCCCACTCTTCGCTAAATTTCTCGCCCTCTCAAACGATGGTGGTGCAACCGTTATTACGCCATTCGCTTGGGACGTCCATCCCGCCCATCATTGCGCGCACCACCAAGTAGTCTATCTTCACCGACACAACTGAACTCCGCTGACTGGAAAACAAGCGCAAATGCGGACAAAATCGTCTGGTTTAGTAGGTTACAGAACGGCTTCTCGTGTTTACAGAAACATATATCTCGGTTTCTTTTCCTTCCCCAGCTTTCCTCGGCCCTGTTCGGTAGCCCTCCAGTCACACTGGGCCCACTCGAACTGGGGAAGCCTACGACATGTTTCGTAGCCTCGGGCGTCCAATCACACTGAAAGGAAGTCTCGTCCGCAAATGCAAGAAGTTACCGTGTGTTTCTCGAGAAATTGCTGGTCGAAACTTTTACTTCTGTACGAGGCTGCCCAAATCACAAACAAAAAACAGCCCGCCAAATGAAACACCCTCGATATGGATAAAAGAAAAACACGAACGGGCAAGATATCTCATCGTTTGAACGAGCGGGCTGAAAAACATATTTTGACCCGATTCGAAACTAATGCAGCGTTTACCCTACAGCGTGTCACTCAGAGCGGGCCTGCCTGAGTGGAACTGGAAAGCAGAAATGGGGTTGACTTTCACTGGCGGTCGAGCTTGCCTGAGCAAGCATTTTCGTGGTAGCGTCCTCAACTTCACTCGGTCTGGGTTTTTCACGCGTTCTGTAGCCAGCTTGCACTGGGCAGGTATGGTGTTCTAATAACGGTCTTGTGGGCTTTAAGGTGAGTCGAAATTGGGCCGAGGAAGAGCACCTGCACCAACCGCAGTGTGATTTGGGGGGCTACCGAACAGGGCCCTTCTCTTGATAGTTGTCACATCCAACACTGGAAGCACGGTGACAGCACATGGCAGCGAGATCTTCGGTGATCATACCCTGTGAATTGCAGCAGCACGTCTGGAACAGAAAGCAAGACGGCCTCTTCTTGACCCAGCATCATAGTTTGTAACTTATCGCGGGACGCTTCTCATTGGTCGATACAGTCCTCACTTGCGCGTCCTCCGTCCCTACTACGTCCCTACACGTGCTTATCCTTAGAGTGCTGTGAATAACTTAACATTATAGGTTTTCTTGAAGTCGGAAATAGGTGTCACAATACTACTCAGTTTCTCCTGACGGACGAATATAGATTCCTGGTTTTGACGGCTCCTCCTGAGGCGGTTCACAAAGTGAGCAGGCTGTAGCAGCTGAGCTCCGTAGCAGACGGCCGTAGCAGCAGGCGCCACCAGCTGGCTCTGTAGCGTTCATAAAACGGCGTTCAGTTATTGCTTTAAGCCCTCGTGTGGTCGCCATGGCATCGTTGCCATCTTTCCTTGGTGGATGACGCACTACCATACTTACCTATGTGATTAACTAGCCGTTTGCAGAAAATCGTCGCACTACTGTGGAAATTCGTTAAGTAGATAACGCTTATTATAGGTCTACTGTAGAACTTGCCTGCTTGAGCGGATGGAATCAAGGGAACCTGGCGCTGGAGCCTACCATTTCAACGTTTCAACAGCGTATGAGTTCCGCAAGACATGTCGATTAGCGTCAGAACGCGAACGCGTTACATCTCGCGTTACAACTCTCGTTACGGGTCACGCTATTACAAGGAGTAGCGGAAGCTGGGGAGGGGGACGGAAACAGCTGCGTGACCTAGTTCCGTCCGCGCTACACGTCAGCATGTTGCTACTGCTGCTTCTACTAGTAACACTACCCTCCTTCGGGGCAGTCCGGGTTCAGGGTCAAAATCCCAACGCCGCATCGAATATTTCCTCCACAGCAGGTGGGTACTAACTGAAGCTGGCAAAGCGTGGCCGTTATTTTGCATCTGGTCTTGAAATGGCCGGTTTGGGTCGAGGGTCAGGACGTTAACGCTGCATCAAACATCTCCTCCACAGCAGGTGGGTGCAAATTAGGTGACTTCTAAGTCAAGTCAAATGGACCGTTCAAGTTCACGGTCGAAGGTCAACGCTGCGTAATTAATGCTCCACAGGGACCGCCTTCGCCCCTCCTTTCCGCCCTCCCCCGTCCTTCACCCTGCCCTTCCAACTGCCCTCCCCCCTGCCCTCCCCCTCTCCCTTCCCCATCTTGCGCCTCCCAGGCTTCATAAGCATCGACTGCGGGTACCAGGGGCGGCCGTACCCCTCTCCTCGCGGCTTCTGAGTGGACTCAAAAGTCACAGACTGCGGGTACCAGGGGCGGCCCTACCCTTCTCCTCGCGGCTTCACCTGACGGCCTTCCCCCCTCTCTTCCGCCCTCCTCCGTCTCCCCCCCTGCCATCCCCTCCCGTCCTCCTCCCCTCCCCCCGCGTGATTCCCAGGCTTCATAAGCATCGACTGCGGGTACCAGAGGCGGCCGTACCCCTCTCCTCTCGGCTTCGCCTGGCAACCTTCCCCCCTCCCTTCCGCCCTCCCCCGTCCTTCTCATATCCCCCCCGCCCTCCGCTCCCCACGCCCCAGGCTTCATAAGCATCGACTGCGGGTACCAGAGGCGGCCGTACCCCTCTCCTCTCGGCTTCGCCTGGCAACCTTCCCCCCTCCCTTCCGCCCTCCCCCGTCCTTCTCATATCCCCCCCGCCCTCCGCTCCCCACGCCCCAGGCTTCATAAGCATTGACTGCGGGTACCAGGGGCGGCCGTACCCCTCTCCTCTCGGCTTCACCTGGTAGCCCGACCCCCCCACCCTTCCACCCTCCCCCGTCCTTCCCCCTGCCTTCCCCCCTACCCTTCCTCCCGCCCCTTCCCCCGCCCTCCCGCCCTGCGCGCCCCCCAGGCTTCATAAGCATCGACTGCGGGTACCAGGGGCGGCCGTAGCCCTCTCCTCTCGGCTTCACCTGGCAGCCCGATTTCCCGACCGTCCCCGGCACGCCTGCTGTCATCACTGCGCTCCCTCGCCCCATACCTTTCCCCATCACCCCACCTTATGCCCCCAGGCTTCATAAGCATTGACTGCGGGTATCAGGGGCGGCCGTACCCCTCCCCTCTCAACTTCACCTGGCAGCCCGATCCCCCCACTGTCTCCGGCACGCCTGCTGTCATCACCCGCATCTCGCCAGACGCGGGAAACGTGAGGCTCACTCCCATGTGCCCCACACTCGTAAACCCCCTTTCCCCCTCCCTCTCCCTTCCCCGCGCCCTCCCCCGCCTTCGCCCCTGCTCTTTCCCCGTCCTTCCCCCGCCCAGGCTTCATAAGCATTGACTGCGGGTACCAGGGGCGGCCGTACCCCTCTCCCCTCAACTTCACCTGGCAGCCCGATCCCCCCACCGTCCCCGGCACGCCTGCTGTCATCACGGGGATCTCTCCAGAAGCAGGAGACGTGAGGCTGACCACGGAGCTGTCCCTGAGGGCGTTCAATAACGACAGGGACGTCAACTGCTACCACGTGCCACTCACTGCTGCTGGTGAGTGCTGCTGTTGGTGGTGCTGCTGCTGGTGAGTGCTGCTGTTGGTGGTGCTGCTGCTGGTGGTGCTGCTACCACGTGCCACTCACTGCTGCTGGTGAGTGCTGCTGCTGCTGCTGCTGCTGCTGCTGCTGCTGCTGCTGCTGCTGCTGCTGCTGCTGCTGCTGCTGCTGCTGCTGCTGCTGCTGCTGCTGCTGGGGAGGTGTATATTTGGATAGATGTGTGTACACAGGGGGGCATTCGAGGGGGGAGGTTGTGAGGCTGATAGCGGAGCTGTCTCTGAGAGGGGGCTCAATAATGACAGGGTTGTCAATTGCTACCACGTGCCACTCACTGCTGCTGGTGAGTGCTTTTTGTCAGTGCTTCAGTTTGGGAGCTATGTTGCGTAGACAGACGTACATGCATGTACGCATGGGGGTAAAGGAGGGGGGAGATGTGAGGTTGACAACGGAGCTGTCCCTGAGGGCGTTCAATAACGACAGGGACATCAACTGCTTGGGAGCTGTATACGAAGTATGATGGAGAGATACCTCTCCCCCCCTACCTGTTCGTACCACCACACACCCCTTCCTTCCTTTCCTCCATTCCTCTGTCTTCTTTTCCCCTTTTTCCTCCCTCTGCAGGCCGTTATCTGGTGCGCTTGACCTGCTGATACAAGAAAGAACTACGATGGCAAGGACTCCTTCCCCCCCCCCACACCCCTTCCTCCCTTTGCCCCTTTATCCTCTGCAGGCCGTTACCTGGTGCGCCTGGCCTTCTGGTACAAGAACTACGATGGCAAGAATTCACCGCCTGTGTTCAACGTTACCATAGGGCCCGGATCAGCGTGAGTTGTGTTTTGAGGGATGGGGTGGCAGGCAGTGTGTAGGGTTTGAGATTGTTAGTGGCTCCTGTGCTGTTCAACGCTACCAGAGGAAAAGAACTACGATGGCAAGAATTCACCGCCTGTGTTCAACGTTACCATAGGGCCCGGATCAGCAAGAGTTGTGGATGAGAGGGATGGGGCTGGATGGGATGGGATGGGATGGGATGGGATGGGATGGAATGGGATGGGATGGGATGGGATGGGATGGGATGGGATGGGATGGGATGGGATGGGATGGGATGGGATGGGATGGGATGGGATGGGATGGGATGGGATGCCATAGCCACAGTCAGGGAGGCGGCCATGCCCATCTGTCTGCAGCGTGTGCGGGCATCAGTTCGAGTCCATTCATACACTGCCTACCCGCCCCTCTCCCCTCCTCACCTCCCCTCCTCTCCCCCACCCGCATTGCTTCACTGCAGTGGTCAGGTGGACCTGCGTTCGATGGGCAATACCCTCTACACGCTCGAAGCCATAGCCACAGTCAGGGACGCTACCATGCCCGTCTGCCTGCAGCGAGTGGGAAGTCAGTTTGAACCCATTCAAACACTGCCTACCTGCCTCCTATCCTCCCTCCATTGCTCCACTCCAGGGGACAGGTGGACCTACGTTCGATGGGCGATACCCTCTACACGCTCGAAGCCATAGCCACAGTCAGGGACGCCACCATGTCCGTCTGCCTGCAGCGAGCTGCGAGGGGGGGTTGAAGGTTTTCAAGCCAAATTACACTGTTGCTCTCGTCTTCCCCCCCCGTCCTTTCCCTTACTACAGAGGACAGGTGGACCTGCGTTCTATAGGCGACACCCTCTACACGATTGAAGCCATCGCCACAGTGAGGGACGCGACCATGCCCATCTGCCTGCAGCGGGTGGGGGACGCCCCCCCCATCATCAACGCCATCGAGATCCGCCCGCTGCCGCCGCTCTCCTACAGCTACCAGCAGCTCAAGGCCGATGTACTGCTGGTGTGGTGGCGCTTTGCTTGTGGCGACAGCCCTGTCCGAGACCAGACTTTCAGGTGGGTGTATGGGTCCATGTGTGTGCCGCTGTCTTACAGCTACCAGCAGTTGAAAGCTGACGTGCTGCTGGTTCTGTGGCGCTTTGCTTGCGGCAGTCAGAGACGAGACTTTCAGGTGAGTTTATGGGTGCGCGTGTAAGGAAGCCCCCTCCTCCCACCCTACCTGCCCCGCCCATCATCAACGCCATCGAGATCCGCCCGCTGCCGCCGCCCTCCTACAGCTACCAGCAGTTGAAGGCGGATGTGCTGCTGGTGTGGTGGCGCTTTACATGCGGGGACAGCCCTGTGAGGGACCAGACTTTCAGGTGCGTGTATGTGTGCGTGCATGCACGAATGTGGATGTGGGTGGGTGCGTATGTGTGTGTTGCATGCCGCCGCTCTCCTACAGCTACCAGGAGCCAAAGGCGGACGTGCTCGTGGTCTGGTGGGGCTTTGCGTGTGCACGACAATGAATCCCCCCCTCTCCCTCCCCTCCGCTTCCCCCACTTTCTCCCTCCTGCCAGTGACCCCTCAGATCCTGCTGACCACATATGGCAGATTGACGGCAGCACACTCACTGGACCACTGGGACCTGCAACTAGCTGGTGGTAACCACCACTATTGTAACCACTGTAACACCGATTCTTTCCCACTCCCCTCTCTCTCCTCCCACTTTCAGGTACCCCTCGGACCCTGCTGACCGCATATGGCAGATCGACGGCAGCACTCAGTTAGACTACTGGGACCTGCAACCATCCACCCGCACACAGCTGGTTACCACCAATGTAACTATTGTAAAACCAACCCGTCCCCGCTCCCCTCTCTCTCCTCCCCCTTTCAGATACCCCTCGGACCCTGCTGACCGCATATGGCAGATCGACGGCAGCACTCAGTTAGACCACTGGGACCTCCAGCCATCCAACCTCACACAGCTGGTTACCACCAACGCCACCGTAACCATCCCTCCGCCCTCACCCCCCAACACCGCCACGGGCACCCCCATTCCCTCCTCTTCTTCCGTTCTCAACGCTGTGCCGCAGCGGGTGCTGCAGTCTGCTCGTACGGTGCTAGCGCCACCAGCGCTGGCGAATAGAGGGTTAGAGTACTCATTCGATAACCTTGATTTGGGTCGCTACCAGGCGTTTCTGTATTTCTCCAGCCTCCTTCCCCCGCCTGCTGCTGCCACTGCAGCTTCTGTAGGGAGTGGCAACGGCAGCGGCAGTGGCAGTGGCGGCGGCGGTGGCGGTGGTAGTGGCAACGGCCCTGGCGGTAGCAACACAGGTGGTAGCAACGGTGGTGGCGGTATTAGTGGCAATGGTGGCGGCGGTAATAGTACCGGAGGTGGAAATAGCACTGACAGCAGCAGTGGCAGTGGCGGTAGTAGCAGTGGGGCCGGTAATAGCACTGGCGGTGGGAATATCACTGACAGCAGCAGTGGCAGTGGCGGTAACAGCAGCACCAGCACCACCAGCATCGACGAATTTCTAGGCGATTTAGTGGTGACCGTGTTACTAAACGACGTGGTTGTAGAAAAGCAGCTCATAGTGATCCCCCTCTCTCCCCCCAACCAATGGGGAGGCCCCAGAGCAGGCCAGGCCGCCATCCCCTTCACAGTCACACCCGAAAACCGGCTAAACATCAGACTTAGGGTAAAAACCACCGCTAAGAGCCGGATTCGCCCCGTGACACTTAGCGGGTTGGAAATAGTCCAGTTGTTTGAGGAGGCACCGGCGGTGGGAGGGGGAGATGTGGCGGCGCTAGCGTGTGTGAAGACACAGTTTGGGGAACCTGCTGCTATGGAGGAGTGGGTGGGGGACCCGTGCTACCCTGTGACGTGGCCGGGCGTGCAGTGCAGCTTCAGTGCCAATGCCACTGCTGTCATTGGCCTGTGAGTGCTGCTGTTGGGGCTGCTGAGAGTGCTGGTGTGTGAGTGCTGGTGTGTGAGTGCTGGTGAGTGCTGGTGTGAGTGCACGAGTGTTGCTGGCTTGGTTTGGAGGAATGGGTTGGGGGCCACCCGTGCCATCCCTGTGTGCGTTGCTTCGTGAGATGCCTAAAGGATTCCCTCATCCCTTGTCCGCCCGTATCAACGATGCCCTCATCCCATGTCCGCCCGTATCAACGATGCCCTCATCCCATGTCCGCCTACATCCCTCTCGTGCCTGCCTGTTGCCCTCCACAAGGACTTGAGTCACTCTGGTCTCTCCGGCTCCATCCCTGCCTGCATCTGCAACCAGCGTTGCACTGCTGCTGCCCCTCACCCCCTCTATCCTCCCCCTGTCTCACTCTCTCCTGCCTGCCTGTTGTTCTCACAGGGACCTGAGTCACTCTGGTCTCTCCGGCTCCATCCCTGCCTGCATTTCCAACCTCTCCTCGCTCTCCGCTCTGTAAGCACCTCCTCGCTCTCTGCTCTGTAAGCACCTGCTCGCTCTCCGCTCTGTAAGCACCTCCTCGCTCTCCGCTCTGTAAGCACCTCCTCGCTCTCCGCTCTGTAAGCACCTCCTCGCTCTCCGCTCTGTAAGCACCTCCTCGCTCTCCGCTCTGTAAGCACCTCCTCGCTCTCCGCTCTGTAAGCACCTCCTCGCTCTCCGCTCTGTAAGCACCTCCTCGCTCTCCGCTCTGTAAGCACCTCCTCGCTCTCCGCTCTGTAAGCACCTCCTCGCTCTCCGCTCTGTAAGCACCTCCTCGCTCTCCGCTCTGTAAGCACCTCCTCGCTCTCCGCTCTGTAAGCACCTCCTCGCTCTCCTCTCTGTAAGCACCTCCTCCCTCTCCACACTGTACGTCCCTAAACACTCCTGTTGTATGGTTCCAACTCTTGAATCTTGATAAGTGCATTGTAGACATCTTTCTTTCTTTCTTTCTTTCTTCACTGCACGTACCTCCTACCTCCTGCCCCTGTAAGCTCCCCTCTCAACGTACACTCTAAAAGCATTCTCATTAACATCATGTGCTCCCACATGCCACGTGCCCCATGTAGCCCCACATGCAGCGTACTCAACGACAGCAGCCTCACAGGCAACATCCCCTCGCCTCACAAACACCTGCTTCCTGTGCCTCTCACATAGCCAACCAGACCCCACCTGCTCACCTCCCCGCCTGCAGCGTGCTCAACGACAACAGCCTCACAGGCGACATTCCCTCGCCTCATGGCCAACCCCACTTGCCCACCCCACCTCCCCATGTGCCCTCACCCACGAAATCTCTCACATGCAGCACGCTCAATGACAACAGCCTCACAGGCGACATCCCCTCATGGCTTGGTTCCCTCTCGAACCTCCACTCCCTGTATGGCCCTCCTACCCTCTGCCTCCCTTCCTCACTCTCTCTCCCTGTACGGGCCTCCTCTCTGCCTCCCCTCCTCACATCCCCTCGTGGCTTGGTTCCCTCTCGAATCTGCACTCCCTGTATGGCCCTCCTCCCCTCCCCTAATCCCCGCCTCCCCTCCTCTCCTCCTCTCGTCCCCTCCCCACACCCCCTCCTTATCCTCTGATCCCTCCTTATCCTCTGATCCCTCCTTATCCTCTGATCCCTCCTTGTCACATCTTTCATAAAAATGGGTTAGGTCCCTTTGGTTTTATTTGCTTGCCAACCTAAAGGCTAAAGACAACACATATAAACACTTCACTTACAAGTCAACCACTTGGGTGCGATTTCCCAATGAACCTCCATATCAGTCCCTCAAACTCTCTCCACTCAACCCCGCTCAACTCTTCTCAACCCCTCATTGCCTCTCTTGCAGCTGCAAAAATCTCCCTGTGCCAGTGAGTTCTCCCTGTTAGCCTCTTCTCTTGTGCTGACTTCCCCTACTCAACTCCCTCCAACTCCTCACAACTCCCTCCAACCGCTCTTTGCCTCTCTTGTACATGGGCAAATGGCGAGTCGAGTTTTACTTGACTCGTTTTGACGAGTTTTTTTCCCTTGGACGAGTCGAGTCGAGTTTTACTCGTCGAGTTTTTTTGGTCAAAATGCTGACTCGAAACTCGGCCCCAAAGTCGAGTTTTTTGAAAACTCGGATGAGCCTTAAAAAAACTCGTCCGAGTCAAGTAAAACTCGACTCGAAGTTAAACACTACCCTAACCTAAAACCCCAGCCACACGAAAACAGTTGTAGGGTGCCCAGAAAACTGCCACACGCGTCAACACCCACAAACGACCCAGCCAGCCCCACCTCTCCTCCCCCCTTTCACTTTCCAAAAAAGCTACTCACCGCCACGCCAGCTGCACTAGTGTTCACAATTAAGCGGTGGAACACATCCAAAACAGCGAGCCACACCTCCAGCAGCATATTAACCCAGAAACAGACATTTGTACCCCCCCGTGGTGGACCATTTGATGCACGAGTTTTTTAAAACTCGTCTAGGTTAAACAAAACTCGTGAGTGAAAAAAAACTCGCGAGTTATGGATAACTCGCCTGTCTAGCCGAGTTTTTTTAAACTCGCGAGTAAAAATCGACTCGTTTTCACGAGCTTTTTTTACCAAAATCAGAACTCGAAACTCGTTATTTTTGAGTACTTCAAACGAGTCTAGTAAAAACTCGACTCGTTTGCCCATGTATTTGTGCCTGCAGCAAGCTGGGCAACAACCAGCTGGTGGGAAGCGTGCCAGGAAACTCAGGTTGCCTTTCTACTCAACTCCTCACAACTCCCTCCCACCCCTCATCACCTTACCTGTGCCTGCAGCAAGCTGGGAGCCAACCAGCTGGTTGGCAGTGTGCCGATGTCGCTCTTACAGCTGCCCGAATTCCTGCACCTGTAAGTTCCTCCCAACCAGCCCTCCGTGTACCAAGTTTTGAATGATAAGTCGACTAAAAAGAGCTGCCACAGCTTCCTGATTTCCTGCTTTTTTTATCCCTTCTCCCCCTCTTTTTATCACTCACTTTCCCCTCCCATTATCTCTCCCCCTCTTTCCCCCTCTGCAGCGATCTCAGCAACAACAACCTCACAGGGCCGTTTCCTTTCAACGCTACTGTCAGCATCGATATCAAGTGAGTGATTCTTCCTCTACCCTTCCTCCCTTAACTCTCCTTCCCTTCTCCCTCCTTCCCTGCTCTCTCTTCCTCCATCTCCCTCCCACAGTCAGCATCGATATCAAGTAAGCAGTTCTCGCTCTACTCTTTCTCCCTTGTCTCTCCCTATCTCTCCCTCCTGTATCTCTCGTTCCCCTATCTTCTCCCCCTTCTCTCCTCCCCACTCCTCGCTCCTCCCCTCTTCTTTCCTTCCTCCCTTCGCTCCTCTCTCTCCCTTTTATGCCGTCCAAAAAATCGTGTTCACTGATTCGCTTCCCACTGTTCTTTATGCCTTTTTCTTATCATTTATGTCAATTTTTTAACCGACCAATTAATCACCTCAAAAGCCTCACTTCTACTTGCTCCCCCTTCTCCTCCATCACTTCTCCCTTCTCCAGCCTCCAACGTTTCTTCTCCCCCCTCCCCTCCCCCGTTCCCGTTCTTGCAGCATCAAGGGCAACAACTACCTTTACCACCCAGATATTGCCTTCAATCAACCTCCCACTCACTCCCCTTTCCCCTCTGTGATCCCCTCCCCCTTGCAACCTTTCTTGCAGCATCAAGAGCCGCAACTACCTCTGCCACCCAGATAGTGCCTTCAACTTTGCACTCCCCCCCTTTCCTCCCTCTGTGCCTCCTCCCGCCCTCTGTGCCTCCTCCCGCCCTCTGTGCCTCCTCCCTCTGTTCCCCTTCCCTCTGTGCTCTCCCCTACAGCATCGAGGGCAACAACTACCTCTGCCACCCAGACAGGGCCTTCAGCCTTCCTGCCTGCTCGGGCAATGGCCTTCCAATCACCTCCCTCTCTCCCTCCTCCCCCTACTCCTCCTCCTCCTCCCCCCCTCCTTCCTCCGACTCCTCCTCCGACCCTGCCATGAGTACTGTGGCGCTGGTTTTCCTCGTTTTGGGCATAATCCTGGGCATCTGTATAGTCGCAGCGGCGACGTTTGTCCTGTGGCGCTGGCAGAAAATGCAGCGGGCCCGGCGGGCAGCAGAGGCGTATACTGGGGGGGTGGGACTGGATGGGGAGGAGAAGGGAGGGAAGGGGGGGAGCGGAGAGGGGAAAGGAGGGCTGGGAGGGTGGGATGAGGAAGGGAAAGGCGGAGGAGGGGGAGGAGGAGGAGGAGGAGGAGGAGGAGCGGGAGGGTATGATGGGAAAAGGCAAGGGGAGGCGTTATTGGGGCATGATCAGGTGGGTCTGGTGCATGTAGTGATTGACGGGAATGGGGAGAAAGGAGGAGATGGAAAAGTAGCAGTAGCAGCAGCAGGGGCAGCAGGGGCAGGGGTAGGAGCAGGAGCAGCGGGAGGAGGGGGAGGGGGAGGAGCAATGAAGGTGCCTGCTGCCGTTTCAGCTGCAGAATCGACAACACCGTTGCTGGGAGCAAGAGAGGATTCCTCAATGCTCCTCGGGTCTATTTTGGGTGCAATCTCTGCTGCAACAACCGACACTGCTGCAACGGCCTCTGGCCCTGCTGCTGCTAGTGCTGCTGGTGATGCTGCTGCTGGCGCTGGTAGTGGTGGTACTGCCGCTGTTACAGCAGCAGCAGCTGGGGCAGCGGCTATTGCTGGTGCAGGAGCAGCAGCAGGTTTGGGTGTTAGTGGTGTGACCCAGAACGGCATCTCTGGTGATTCCTCCATGACCCAGGATCAGTCTTTATCTGCAGAAACACCTGCAGGAATGCCAGTAGCAGGTGCAGCATTAGCAGCTGCACCAGCAGCACCGGCAGCAGCAGCTGCAGCAGCGGCAGCAGCAGCAGCAGCACCTGCAGCAGCAGCTGTCGACTCGATGATCCTCTTTGTCTCTCCAGGCTCCCACGTGCGGCGCTTCTCCCTCGCAGACCTCGCAGCAGCAACCGCCAACTTCCACCCCTCCCACATTATTGGCTCGGGCGGGTTCGGACCCGTGTTCAAAGGTATTCTCCCTGATGGGAGAATGGTGGCGGCTAAGAAGCGCGACGAGGACTCGTTACAAGGCGAGAAGGAGTTTTATAACGAGGTGGACCTGCTGTCGCGCGCCCGCCACCCAAATCTCGTGGATTTGATTGGATTCTGCCGGGAGAGCGGGCAGCAGGTGCTGGTGTACGAGTTCATGCCGCATGGGACCGTGCGGGATCATTTATATGACTCCATTGGGAATCCGTTGGGGCACCTGCGCTGGCTGCAACGGCTTCATATTGCTCTCAACGCTGCCAGAGGTGCGTGGGAGTCCTTAGTGTGAGAAAGCCCTTCATGCCGCATGCATGGCACTGTGAGGGACCATCTGTATGACTCCATCGGGAACCCCCTGGGGCACCTGAGGTGGCTGCAACGGCTGCACATCGCCCTCAACGCTGCCAGAGGTGAGTAGAAGTCATTGCCTTGTGTGTGAGAGAGTGTATGTGGAGTTTTTGCCTTGCACACGGGCATGACCCCCCCCCATCATCCACCAAGATGCCAATCAAAGAGTCCTTTCCCCTTCTAACCCTCCCATCTCGTTTCTAATCCCATCCCTTTATTTTCGCCCTCTGTAACCCTTCCTTTACCTACCTTCCATCCCACACAGGAATCGAGTTCCTGCACACAGGCATGACCCCCCCCATCATTCACCGGGACATCAAGACCAGCAACATTCTCCTAGACGCCAACCTGAGAGCCCTTTCCCCTCCTTACCCTCCCATCCCATCCCTTTCCTTCCACCCTATGTAACCTTCCCATTCCCTTTCTTTCCTTCCCTCCAGGAATCGAGTACCTGCACACAGGCATGACCCCCCCCATCATCCACCGGGACATCAAGACCAGCAACATTCTTCTTGATGCCAACCTGAGAGCCCACGTGGCTGACTTTGGACTGTCCAGGGAGGGCTCTGTGAGCCGCACGCATGTGTCAACAAATGTCAAGGGCACAGCAGGCTACCTGGACCCCGAGTAAGTCCCTTTCTCCCAGGTATGGTATGCCCTCCCTTGACCGGTAGCTGAGTCCCTTTGGGCTGTCCAGGGAGGGCTCTGTCAGGTTAGCCTAACCCACGTGTCTATGAATGTCAAGGGCAGGCACGGCTGGATACCCTGAGTGAGTTTTGGGTGCAAGTGAGGAAAAGAGCAAGCTATGTGATGTGCAACATGCCTCGCATCCCCAGGCCCATTATAAGTCGAGCCTTATAAGCTATGTGGCTGACTTTGAACTTGCACGAGAAGGCTTTGTGAGCCTCACTTATGTTTCAATCAGCGCAGCTCGCCGCATGCGCGTGAGAGCGGGACAGTAGGCCTCCTCGATGACTTTTGAGTCGACTCAAAAGTCGCATGCGCGTGAGAGCGGGGCAGCAGGCCTCCTCGATGACTTTTGAGTCGACTCAAAAGTCGCATGCACGTGAGAGCGGGGCAGCAGGCCTCCTCAATGACTTTTGAGCCGACTCAAAAGTCGCATGCGCGTGAGAGCGGGACAGCAGGCCTCCTCGATCCTGAATGAGTGCATGCAACCCAGCTTGATGGATCCTCCCACTCCCACACACTGGCGCTGTTCTGTAGGCGTCATTGCCTCCGCATGAAGTGTACGAGCAAGTCCTTCTGAGTCGATTTTTGAGTCGACTAAAAATCCTCCCACACACTGGCGATGTTCTGTAGGCGTCATTGCCTCCGCATGAAATGTAGGAGCAAGTCCTTCCGAGTAGCTTTTCGCCACACCCAAATCTCTAATTACTCAATTTGCAGGGCGGAAGTTGCCACCAAGTCTCACTCAATTTCTCAATCCCTCAAATTGCTGCCCCGCATAACTTGTGCGCTGGCTGATGCTAGCTCTCGAGGCTGAGTTGGCAGCGCACAAGTTGTGCGAACATTTGCCTGGCGATGCAACATCTTGGAACCTTCAGGCGATTAAATTAGTGTGCCCCGGAAGTGGTGTTCTGCAGGCCCAAGTGGATCATTTGACGCGGACAGGCTCGGCAGGACCTGTTGCTTCATCCTCCCTCTCTCCTGCCCCCTCTCCACCCCACTAGGTACTACAGTGCAGCAGTTAACCGGCCGCAGTGACGTGTTCAGCTTCGGAGCGGTGCTGCTGGAACTGATTTTTGAGCTGTTAACCCCTGTCCTCTTTACCTCTACTCTTTCCTCTTCACTCCCTCCATCCCTCCCTTCCTTCAGGTACTACACGGTGCAGCAGCTGACCGACCGCAGTGACGTGTTCAGCTTTGGAGTCGTGCTGCTGGAGTTGATTTCCGGTCGCCAGCCGATCGACCTGAACCGGCCAAGAGACGACTGGAGCATTATTGACTGGGTGAGTAACGGTTGACTGCGGTTGGGCAGGGTTGATTAGGGTTGACCCCGGTTGACTAGGGTTGAATGGATTGACTGGGTGCTTCTGGAGATGATTTTCGGGCGGCAAGCAATCGACTTAAACCCCCCCCCCCCCCCGCTCTCCCTCTCTCCCTCCTCCCCCCACACCCTAAACCCGTGCAGGTGCGGTCGCGGCTGCAGCAAGGGCAGATAGAAGTTATAATAGACCCGACCCTCCCCCCCTCCGAATTCGACATTGAGGTCATGTGGCGCGTGGCAGAGGTGGGAGTGGTGTGTGCGTGCGCTATCACTTGCCCTCTCACCCCTTGCCCTTTCCATTCCCTCCCCCCATGCCCTACGCCCTATGCCCTTTGCAGGTGCGGTCGCGGCTGCAGCAAGGGCAAATAGAAGCTATTATAGACCCGACCCTCTCCCCCTCCGAATTCGACATTGAGGTCATGTGGCGCGTGGCAGAGGTGGGCGTGGTGTGCGTCGAGCCGAAAAGCTTCAACCGCCCGAGCATTTCAGACGTTTGCTTCGAGTTAAACCACGCCATCCAGCTTGAGGCGGCGGCTGGCCACCCGCCGCCCGGTTTGGGCCACTCGAATATCACGTTTGCGAGCAGCGGGGAGGGGAGCAGCAGCAGCGGATTGGGGGGAAGTCAGGGGTTGATGAGTGCAGGGGATGGGAGCAGCAGCGGGACCGGGAGTGGGAGTGGGGGGGTGGGAGGAGGGAATGGGAGCAGTAATGCGGCCATACCTGTGTCATATCAACCTGGGGCGATGGAAGGAGGAGGGGTGGGTTCTGCTGCTGCTGCTATTGTTGTCATTCCTGGCACGGATGCAAGCGCAAATGCCCCCAGCCTTCCTCCACCTGCCTTCACCACAGCAGCAGCACCAGCAGGGTCACGGTCTTACACTCGGTTCAGGTCTGCCTTTCACAGCAGCAACATGACCAGCAGCAGCATTGTGTGAGGCATGTCAATGCATGTTCGATAGAAGAGGCAGCTGCAGCAGCAGCTCCACCAATAGCAGCTGCAGCAGCAGCTCCACCAATAGCAGCTGCAGCAGCAGCAGCAGTATTTTCCATGCAACTCACTGCTGACAAAAGCCCACTTCACCGCCAGCAATGCAGCCATCCCTTCTGTCCACGAATGCCCTTCCCTTGACCTGCCTCACCTCATCATGACATTCCAAAAATGTCAAGTGAACTGTATTCTCGCAGTGTATTCTCTCTGACTGCTTGTGAGTATGTTGAGGTGTTTCAACAGCAAGCCATGGCCTGTAGTGGAGTGGACTGCTGTTGAGCCATCTCAAGAGTGTTTTGCTTTATACTTGCTATGATCTTGTTACTGTTCTAATGATGCGTTGTGTCTCTATGCTATTTGTCATCGAAATGTACAATTGCTTTAGGTAAGTGAAAAGCAGCAGCGAATTGCTTTATCTGTAATTTTTTATTGTAACCTAAACTTCAAGGCGGGTAGTCTTGGCAACAGCAATTTCCCCAGCTATAAGTGCTAGCATTGCAGTGTACTGCATAATCTAAAGCAGTGGTATGCTTCGTTCCTCAGCAATCAGTACTAAGTATAAATAAGGGGCACTAAAATATGCCCTATATGGGCACTACCTACAAACTGTTGGGCTGAGATAGCCCCTTAGGATCTTTGCAAGGGATAACTCTAGGTGAAGTAGTTGTAATAGCGGAAGCGTTTAGTGAAGAATTTGAACCGACCTTGCACTGGTGTGTGAGAGCAAAGTTGATTGAATTAAACAAGCAAATACAAGGATTTATATAAGAGTACAGGGAATACGAATAGATATGTAGATAACTGTATTGCTGTTGCGGTTCGATACAGTGCGACTCGGGCAACTGCTCTGTAACGAGTCAGTTGTGTGTCCTTAACTGTCGCGCTGTAATTGTCGAGTCAAAGGTCAGCGACCTTTGACTTTCTCGTAACCTCCAGGCGGTTACCCTAACCTCCGAGTTTGACTCGATGCTTCGATTGGGACTGCTTCGCTTGGTGCCTTGGGTTTTGATACGACAGAAGCGCACTTAGGACTTATTGTTTCCAACACTCCCCTTCGCTTCTGGAGTGTCGCTGCTGGTGACGTGGCCTTGTCCAGTCAGCATCATGCAGTATTCGAACTTCTGCTTTCCGAGTTTCTTGGTCAAGTAATCGGCTGCCATCTCGGATGTTGGGCAGTATGACAGATCGAGTTTCCCTTTTTCTATCTCGTCCTTCACGAAGAAATAGCGCAGGGCGATGTGTTTCGTCCTGTTTGCGAAGCCGTTTTTGTTGGCGATGCGAATTGCTGACTGGTTGTCGCAGAACACGGTGAAGCTGGGTAACTCGGCTAGCTTCGCTTCTTCCAGTAGTTCGCGAAGGTAAAGTCCCTCCTTGGTGGCTGAGCAGAGTGCAATATATTCTGCTTCTGCTGAAGATAGTGCGATTAACTCCTGCTTGCTCGACTGCCAGGAGATAGGACCGATAGGCTCAAGGCGGTAGACATAGCCGGTGCGTGAGCGCCTGTTGTCGGTGTCGCCGGCGTGATCGGCGTCGACGTAGCCGATTAGCTTAGTTGGTGTAGCTGCGCTCTTGTGGTAGGTTAGCCCGATCGTCGCGGTGCTGACGAAGTAGTGGAGAGCGCGATCAAGTTCCGCCAGGTGTTCAGCTTCAGGCTTCTTGAGATAGGTGGCGAGCTGACTTGCGGAGTAGGATAAGTGAGGACGGCAGGTGACGGCGGCGAATAGCAGGCATCCGAGCTTCTTCTGATAGTCGCGTATGCCGGCGGGCTTGAGTAGAGTAGTTCGTTCCTTCTCGGTTCCTGATGTGTAGCGGTAAGGCGTGAAGATGGCGCTTGGTGTGAGGCTGAAGCGTAGAGGAAGGCATTCGCGACGTCGATCTGCCGTAACTTCTTCTTCTTCATGGCGGCAATGGCGAGGAGAATTCGGAGTGACGTGTGGCGGCTGACTGGAGCAAAGGTCTCGGTGAAGTCTCGTCCTTGCTCTTGGTCGAATCCACGTACGACCCAGCGTGCTTTGAATTTTTCGATTGTGCCGTCTGCTTTCGTCTTGATGCGGAAGACCCATTTCCCGGTAAGGATGGTTTTGTTCCGTGCCACGCTTACGGGAACAACCTTCCAAGTGTTGCGTTCCTCTAATGCCTTCAGTTCTCTATCCATGGCTTCACGCCATTTCTCCCTGTGTTCCCCCCCCAGAGCCTGCTGAACCGTTGCAGGCTCCTTAGGAAGCGAGCTGCGTGTGTTCCCGTGGACTGCGGTGACGAGGCCGAGGATTTGCAGCCCAGTCTGTGAGTATCGAGGGAGTTCTGGATCCTCGGAATAAGCTGCTTCGTCTCCCGCTTCTGGATCAGGGATGAAATTCGGTCCTATCCTTTCTGCTTCATTTGTGTTGACGGTTGCAGGTGTTACGTAACCGGTATCGGCGAAGTGGTAGAAGACTTCGGTGTTGTTACTGTCGCGAGGATTTTCTTCGTCCATGGGCACGTTGACGGAGCAGTACGGGAGAGGTCCGGCTTCTGCCGATGCGTTGTCAACATTCTGCTCGTCCCAGTCTGCTTCATCCGCTGCTGACGCGAAGGCTCGGTCACCACGAAAACCACTGGTGAGGTCCCGATTCTCGTGCAAGTTGGCGAGGTACGTCTGAAGGGTGAGTCTTTCGTAGAAGATCACGTCACGTGCTGCTACTGTTTCCTTTGTGTGGACGTCGAAGATTCTCCATGCGTTGTAATTTTTCTCGATGCCGAGGTGTAGTCCCCACTGTGCCCGTTGCGAAAATCTTCCCGCTCGTGCTTCTGGGGGTCTGTACTGTACCATGCACCCGAAAACTCGTAACATTTTCGTGCTGCCCTGCTTCCCTGTCCACAGCAGATGCGGTGATGCGTTGTTCGGGAGTGACGACGACGACAACAAGTTGTGCAGCATGACAGCGTGGTCCAGTGCTGCTGGCCACTGGTGGTTGGGTAGCCGCATGCCACGTAACAGTTTGCGCATGCTGTTCTGCAGGGTCCTGTTCAGTCGTTCTGCAACACCTTGCTGCTGATGTGCGTAGGGAAGGGAGAGGAGTTGCTTGATCCCCCTTTCCGCCAAGAACTGCTTGAAGCGGTGAGAGGTGTACTCGCCACCTCCGTCTGACTGGAAATTTTTCAGTTGTGTTCCAGACTCTCTCTCTGCTATCGGTAGCCAGGCGGCGAATGCTGCGAGCGCCATGTCGCGGCTGGGTAGGTTGCGATGCCAGACGTATCGAGTGGCGGCGTCGATGAAGGTGATGGTGTAGTTGTAGTTGACTTGTCCTGGTTCGCGATTGTAGAGGATGTCGCTGTAGACTTTTTCGAGTGGTGCGTACGCTGGAGCGCTCGGGTTGTGATGTGAAGCAAACGGTCGATGAGGTAAGTCAGCTTCGGGACATATAAGGCAAGTCCCTCGTGCCTTCTGGAGTTCTCTGCCATCGGGTAGAAGTAGAGAATCTTTGTCAAGGACTCCTGCTCTTATCGTGTTATTCAAAACCGTGTTGCTTGGATGTCCTGTTCGTGCGTGCCAGATTTCTTCAGAGGCGCGGTGTCCAGGTGAACGCTGATATGCGTCGGAGTTGGAGTAAAAGCTGGCGACGAGGTTGGCGCTTCGGTGGACTTCACGTTGAGTCGGATTCAGCTGTTGCGTGGGTGTTGGTGGTGCTTCGTCGACTGTGACTGGTGTCGTTGTTTCTGCTGCTGCTGATGTTGTTGCTGCTGCCGATGTTGTTACTGCTACCGATGTTGTTGCTGCTGATGCCGATGTTGTTACTGCTGCCGATTTTGTTGCTGCTGCTGCCGATTGTCGAATTGTTGCTAATGCTCGTGTTCGTTCTGCTTCAGGAATGGTGTGCGAGTACCAGAAGCCTCCTGGGCTGAAGTCGGGGTCGAGATCCGGAGGGTGTGTCCAGTCAGTGAAATTCACGATGGCGTCGCTGTCTGCAGTGCCCAGGTCAGGAACGAAGTCGAGGACGAAGACGTTGTTCTTCAGCACTACTTTTCCGATGTAGAGACCGCCTCTCCCGTGGTAAAGCTTGAACTCCTGGGTCGTGCTGTCGGCTTCCAGATGAATTCCTTTCGCCATCAACTGGCTAACGCTCAGTAAGTTGTAGCCGAGTCCTTCAGCGATGAGTACCTTAGACATGTGCAGTATGACGTTTGTTTCTCTTGATTGAAGCTGTACCACTCCTTGTCTTCGTGTGCGCAGGTTTTGGTTGTTGGCAACCGTGATGATTACTTCCCGTTGGAGTCGATGTTCGCGTTGTACGAAACGCTCGGACGAGCACATGTGTTGCCCGCAGCAACTGTCCAAGAACCAGGTGTCTTGGCCGGACGGTTCACTTTGAGCGATGGCGGCGTACGTTGGATTCGGCTGGAGTAGCTCACGGCGAGGCGTTCTGTTGTCAAGCTCTTCTTCCGGTGAGTAGTGTGGTGGTGATTCGGTTGTACACGAATCGGTTATCTTCGTCATGCAGTTGATTATATTTCTTGCTCCTCGTGCAGGTTGTCCGGGTGAAGTCGTTGAAGCTTGAATAGTGGTCGTCGCACTTGCTTGTGTTGAAGCCATTTGGGAGCTTGAAGGTCGAAGTTGTCGCTGTGGTGCCGTTGATTGCTGACGATTCGGGCAGTGTGTGCGCGGGTGCCCTGAAGTCTTGCAGATATGGCAGAAAGGAGGTACTATCTTCGGTTGCTGCTGTCGGTTGTTATAATTGCTGTGTCGTCGTTGAGTGTGGAATGCGAACTCTGATACTGTCGTTTTCTTCCTGTGTCGTTCTTCCTGCAGGTCCATATCTTGCTGCTCGGCATGTATTTCGGCGCAGAGTGCAGCTTCAGAGATTCTTCCGTGGGCTCGAAGAATGGCTTTGGTGGCGCGCCACTGAGGACCAAGCCCACCAATGATGATTGTCACGAAGGCGTCTTCAGAGATTGACCCTCCGCATCGAAGCAGCTTGTCGCGCAGTTCGCGACATCGGCTGATATACGCCAGTCCTTTTTCTCCTGGTTTCATTTCGACTGTCGTCAACTGCGCCATTAACCTGCTCTGGTTTACACTGTCTGTTGCTTGATACAGGTTCTTCAGATGGCTGTACGCGAGCTCCGCCGAGTTGCCGAAGGTCCGGTAAGAGCGAATGTTCTGCTGCTGAGTTGGTGTCACGTTCCTCAATAGGATTGTATACGCCATCATTGATTGATACGTATACTGCTGCTTTTCATATTGTGTCCCGTTGGCTGGATACTGCAGGGACCCGTCGAAGAAGCCGAATATCTGCGCGCCCTCCATCATCAGCTCGAATTCAAAGGACCAGGTAAAGAAGTCTTTGCCGTCGAAGGGTCTTGACGTTTGCAGTTTTAAGACGTGTGCAAACTGCGACTGAACTTGAAGTGCGTCCAGTGGTCTTTCTTGTCCAGGTGAAGGTTGCGGGTGGGGCACGAAGCTGATTGACCCGCGCTCGTACGGAGCAAAGGTAGGTTGCTGCTGCTGGTTTCCTCGCGCATATGACGACCCATCAAGACTCATGGGTGTCGCTCCGTTGTTGCTGTTGTGTGTTTGTGCAGGTCCCGACTGCTGGTGTTGTTCGTAGAAGGACATGAAGGAGAAAAATTTCTCCATCATGTTCTGGTCAAAGTCCGAAGGGTGGTTCATGGGGGTCTCGGTTGACGTTCCTCTTGGTCTTGTTGCCGTGCCTTCTTCTGTCTGCAGGCCAGAGGCTGGCGGTGGAGTAGGAGTAGTGCCCGAGGAGCCATTAGGGGAGCTCCTTTCCTTGTTTGTTGCCATGTCTTGTAATGATTTTAAAAAGGAGTAGAGTTTCCCTTGTCAGCTCTCATACCATGTTGGGATGAGATAGCCCCTTAGGATCTTTGCAAGGGATAACTCTAGGTGAAGTAGTTGTAATAGCGGAAGCGTTTAGTGAAGAATTTGAACCGACCTTGCACTGGTGTGTGAGAGCAAAGTTGATTGAATTAAACAAGCAAATACAAGGATTTATATAAGAGTACAGGGAATACGAATAGATATGTAGATAACTGTATTGCTGTTGCGGTTCGATACAGTGCGACTCGGGCAACTGCTCTGTAACGAGTCAGTTGTGTGTCCTTAACTGTCGCGCTGTAATTGTCGAGTCAAAGGTCAGCGACCTTTGACTTTCTCGTAACCTCCAGGCGGTTACCCTAACCTCCGAGTTTGACTCGATGCTTCGATTGGGACTGCTTCGCTTGGTGCCTTGGGTTTTGATACGACAGAAGCGCACTTAGGACTTATTGTTTCCAACACAAACCATATGCTAGTAGTAAGGGGCACAGATGAGCTTCCCTTAGAGAACACAAAAAACAAAGGAGCTGCTAACGATACAAGGAGCTTTTGCTTCAGTGCACTTGGAACCTGCTGAATACCCAGTGCTATGTTGTCAGCTTTTGCCAGAGTCATGTACAAATTGCTGCGAAAGTTTGCACCGCAGTCTTGGTGCAGATATTTACATTCACAGAAGTCGAGCCACCTGGCGCTGTAACGAGTTGACTCCGCAGAATCCCCAACCCAGGCAGGGATTAGGTGAATCCGATTGCACTCACCGCACCAGCCGCGCAGCCTTCTCAGCTGAGCCCAGGAGATCTGCCGTGATAAGGTCTGCTAGTGCACGTTGCTCAGGTTGGTACCCAGGTTGTTGCTCAGGTTGCGGGAAGGAAGATCCGAAAATCATGGGAGATACAGCAGCGGCGTCGTGTGGAGCGGCAGCAAGTGTGGGTTTGGCGCCAGCAGGGCCGTCGTCGGCAGCAGTGAGGGAGGGGTTGGCGGGGCGGTGGCCCTTGAAGAGGGCGAGGTGGCCGAGCAGCTTGTCCTTGCGGCTGAAGGACGTGCCGCAGGAGCACAGCCAGCGGTCGCGCCCGCAGTGCTTCTCGTGGGTCTTGAGGTCCGCCACTACCGAGAACCGCTTTGCACCGCACTTGGAGCAGGAGAGCATCTTGGGGCAGTGGGTGCGGCGGTAGTGGTTCTTCACACACAGCATCGTCTTGAGAGGCACGAACGCCCGGTGCTGCTGGTTGCGCTTGCACCCGTTAAACGGGCAGCTGTATCGGAGCGGCTTTTTCTCGGTAACGGCAGTGGTGTCAGTCCGAGAGAGCATGCTTTTCTCAGGGTTTGCGAGGGCTGCTGGCGTCTTGTACTCGTCGCCGTGGCCTCTCATGTGCATGCGGAGATTAGCGTCTCGCTTGAATCCTGCCAGGGTATAAAAAATGCGATGTCAGAGCAAGGCGGCGTCAAACGAAAAGTCAGAACGTGGTGGTACATGTAACAGCAGAGGAGAAGAGAGCAGCGCAGAGAGGAGCAGAGCAGCGAGCAGAGAGGAGCAGAGCAGCGAGCAGAGAAGCTACAGTGGTGGCAGGCATGTGCCATATGAGTCGCAGACAGCAAATTAGTTGCACACAACCAATGCCTTTGCCACAGCATACCTTTGCCGCAGATCTCGCAGAAGTGCGTGTGCTCCGCCAACAGCTCCACAGGGTCCATCTGGATTATGTCGAACTCTCCTGAAGCCACCAAAGCACGAGTGCACGCAGCAGAGAGACAAGATGCACGGGATGTGTGCAGGCAACAAAAGATAGGAGCAAAATTCTTTGAGTTCCGCAAGTTCTCTCCGAGATGCATGGATGATATTGAACTCACCCTATGAAGCCATGCACACATCAACGAACGCAGAACAGAGACAAGGGACACGGTTACAAGAGAAACGGGTACAAGAGAGATGGATACACTCTTAGGCACCGGATGCAACACACAATGCAGCGAGCACGCGACTCACCAGCCAACACCTCGCCCTCGTCGTCGTCACCCTCATCGCCAGACGGTGAAGTCGCGGGATTTCCCTGACCTGCGTCAGCAGCTGGAGCCACCGTCGCGGGCTCGAGGCTCTTCCGCTTCCGCGGCAGGTGCGACGCGATTGCGAGTGGCGACGTGTCCTCGCTTGGAGAGACCGTCATCTGCGGCTGAATGTGCTGCTGCTGCTGCTGCTGCTGCGGACGAAGGTGTTGGTGTTGCTCCTCTTGCGAAACTACGCTCTTGAGCTGATCTTGTTGCAGCTTGACAGACTCGGCCGCAGCAGATGACAAGGAAGCAAGACCCAGCTGCAGCTGAGCCGTAGCCTTCTCCGCGTTCCGCGCGCTCTGCGATTGCGATTCCAACATCTGGAAGCCAAGATCTTGACAGGCGAAGCCCGCTGGAGTTCCCTGCAAAATTTGCGGGGACTGGTGCTCTAGGATTGGTTGATGTTGTCGCTGAAGATTGTTAAGATCAGGATGCGGGTCAAGAGACGGAAAAGCCGCCACGCCGGGGTGACTCGGCTGGACAGACGGTAATTGGAGATTTCCCACGTTGGAATTTCGGGACTGGAAAACACCAGATCTGACATTAGCGGGTGGAATCTTAGTCGATGTGACATTAACGGGCGCAGGAAGGCCCATTTGGGGAAGGATGTTGGCCGCGGCAAGCGCGAGCTGGGAAATGACGGAGGCGATTCCGGCCGATGCGGCAGCGTGCTGCTGCTTTAGCTGCTCCGCGTGAGCGCTGTCGATTGGCTGCTGCTGCTGCTGCTGCGCCATCAACGGGATAAGCGATTGAAGCGCGCTGATGTTCTGCAAGAACAATGGATCCGTGAGAGAGGAAACGACGGTACATGTGAGAAATTAACTCGTCACAACGGGAAGGTGTCGCGCAGCACTTATAGAGAGATAGAGAGGTGTCGAGAAGGTGCGCAGGTACGACTGACTCATCAGAAGAAGAGCGGTGGAGGAAAACGGATGATTAAGGTATGACTGACTTATCAAGTAGTTGTACCTGCTGAAGAAGATTGAGAGCATTCATTAGAGCCTCTGGGGAGGAAGATAAGCCAAGAAAACCAGGAGCATCACCGCCTGGATCGACCACCGACTGGTTCAGGTTTATCGCAAGTTGCGGCGTGGTTTGAGGACCGTCTTGGGTAGGAACCGCTTCATTTGACATTAGCGGATTCGGCGTTTGTGCCTGAACTGGCGAATGATGCAGCTGATGTGGAGGATATGGCTGCTGACTCGGCATCGGATGGGGATTCTCCGCGACGGTGTGGAAACTGGCAAAATCTACGCCGATCTGTTGGTAAAAAGGCGACGCCATGAATGTCAAGGCGGGAACAAGGACTACGCACTTGGTACCAAATTCGAGGTTTTCCGCGTTGCAACAAGAAGATAATAACACAACCGAAGCTGCTTAACTAGAGGTCGGACACATAATACTTCGCCAAAGCTCACTTGATCAACCAAATCTGACCTAGTGGTATGAAGAATGGAGTGTTGAATCAGGAAAACTCACCAACCCTGAAGCCAGGCCAGGTTCTGAAGACTTGCACAAGAAAGACTAGCACAGCTCAAGCTCTTATAAGACTGTGGCTCAATACCTTATACCTTTAGAGCGGTTTAGATTTCCACCGCTTTAAACCGTTGCGCACCAGAAAGAACCTTGTACGATTCATTTGGGATTGGACGAGACGAGAATGACCCGCCCTGGGCAATCTTGGTTTCAGGGAAGGGTTGCCTGGGGAAGGGGCAGGGCAGGGTTGGACACTATTCGATGCCATACTGGGCAGGGTAGGTGTAGGGCAGGCGGACAGTGTGCCTGAAACTGTATAGCGGTGGCGCAGCATGCTGCGGCTGTGCTGTGTACAGAACTGTACGACGCGCGGACGCGGGTGCGGTGGCGGGTGGGGAAAGAGGGGGTAGCTCGCGGGGGCTTGAGAGGGCTACAGTACTTGGGGCTTGTTTGGTGGATTCCTTGCGCCTTGGAAGCTGCTGCTGGTGAAGTGTGAGGTAGTAACCATTTGATTCTTTTGTGTTTTTCCGGACCGTCTGTATATTTTTAAACGGGCGGTCCTAACATCGAGAAACGGACCGTCCGATGTGACGTTCCGGAACCTTGCCACCGTCCGGAGAGAAACGTGATACTTTTTTGCTTGTGCTCCGACTTCGCGACTACTGTAGTCTCGCGCAGCTCCCGCGACACTCGTAACCAAATACACAAGCTGTCGCAAGACCGATTCGTTTGCCAATACCTGCACAGGATTGCAGATTGATATTCGTCCGCCAATCCCTGCACAGAACTGGCGGACCGTCCAAAACGGGGTTTCGGACCGTCCGAAATGCACATTTCGGACCGTTGGAGCGTGAAAAAGTGTCATGACGGCTCGGAATGTTGGCGACGTCGCAAGGAGTTTACCGAACAAAAATGTGCGAAGTACTGCGACTTTGGTAACTCTTCGCTAATATGGACGGTCTACATTTCGGACCGTCCGGAACAAAAATAGGCAAAATGGTTACACGCCCTAACAAGCCATTGACCTGGCTCGGTTTCCGTTTTGGTTTCTGTATTGACTCATGCTAGTCAAACCCGCGTTTCTCTTCACCATCCACCCACCATTCACGCCTGTCACCATGACCTACCCCTAGAGCATCGCGTTCTCAATACCCCCTCCCCCTCCCATCCCACACCGCCTCTCTCTCTCTCTCTCATGCGATGTGTACCACCTGGAGCGGTAGCCGCAGCACGAAACCAAGTCAGCCCTGAATCTGTAAATAATTCCCTTCCGTACCCACCCGCAATCTACCGTACGGGATGGTCAGGTGCGGGCAGGTGCCACCCTGTATGTGGGCAGCATGTGCCCTGGCTGTGCGTGGGAGGGACACATTCGCCATTTCTGGTCGAGGCTTGTCTGTGTGGATGTGCATTTCTTTTCACCCGGGCGAAAAAAACTAAAATCCTATCGGATGGCATGCCATCCGAGGGAGGCATCAACCCTAAACCCATGCCTCCCCGTGTTTAGGGTTGATGCCTCCCTGACCGGATGCATGCCTGACTGCGGTTTTTTTTTTCTCCCGCGGGCAGCGAGCTCCGCCGGGCGACGACCTGAACGCGCTGAGATATATTCGGCGGACCCAGTGGATAACCTATTCGCCTCACTCGAATTCCACGTGGCCCGGAAAGGGCTTGTATATGACCGAAGCATCAGCTTGGCATTCCAACCATTGGTTCGTAAAGCAAGCCAAGGCATTTCAGCCAACCCTATGTGGTGTGGTGTGGAGGTCCGGCCAGAGCTCCAAGTGAGGTTTTCAGATTGGGCCTATCACGTGGTCCACCTCGACAGGGCAACCACCGTGCAGCAGCTGCAGTGCGAAAGATTCAGGGGGCGGTACACCAAGTCCTCGCCAACTTCACTAGGGCCAATCTCAACCCCCTGTGTATTCATTTTAAATTCACCCCAATTTAAGGGTCGTTTCAAAATATTTGGTTTTTAAGGAAACCAATGACCTGGACTGCGCACATGAGTCAGCGGAAAAACAAAAGAAACATGGTCGCAGCGGAAGATTCAGTCTTTGCGTTGCAATCTCAACGTCAGAAGGGGCAAACATCGAGAAGTCACGATGCCTCGGATAGCCTCTAGTTTTTTTCATTATTGATTAAGTGTGATACAAAGTCGGGGTAATTAAGATAAGGGGTATTAGAGGAAGGTAGAAATGGTGGAACAAAGACAGGGTGATGTAGATAGAAGAGCTGGAGAAGAAGAGCACGGCCGAAGGAAAAGTGGAAAGAGGAAAAGAAGAGAGGAAGAAACTAAAGGAAGGAAACACCTAAGGACCAAAACACCACAATACCCGCACCACAGCGCGGGACACATCATTTCAAGAACAATTGCTAAACGCCTATACATATGCATCGTACATATACTACACGTCTGCCACGTGAGAATAAGCGAACAGGAATGAATGAACTAGAAGTGAAATGAGTACAAGTAGTAAACCCTAGAATTGTGTACCCCCTATAGGCTAACCCACTGTAGCCTACACAAGCATAACATGTATAATGTTTGACACACCCCCATAGGCAAAGTGGGGGAGAACAAGGGGTCACAAGACCAGTCAAGCAAAGCAAAGCAAGCTCAGGGTGGATCACAAAGTCACCACACAGTCCGAGCACAAGAGCAGGGCCAGAGGCCAGTTCACATGCAGGAGTACAGACATATATATAAAACTAGACAAGCAAGAGCAGGTATATATATATGTCACAGTACAAGTAAAGTCAAGAGGAGAGCAAGTGAGGCAAGACAGGCACAAGACCCAGCTGGGTGCAAAAGCGCTGATGATCACAAGGCGCGAGTGCCTTGGTGAACACATCAGCAGTGTTGGCCTCAGAGGCCACGTACGCAAGTCGCAACTGACCACGCTGCTGCAGCTCACGAGCAAGGAAGTAGCGGAGAGCAATGTGCTTCGTTCTGTGCTCCAAGCGCTGCTCTCGACACAAGACCAGCATGGCCTTGTTGTCTACGTACAGCACTGGAGGAGAACAAGGCGGCTCTCCAAGGTCAGTCAGCAGGTAGGTGAGCCAGCGAAGCTCCTGTGCAGCCATGGCCCCGGCGTAGATCTCAGCCTCACAACTGGAGCCGAGAACTGAAGACGAGCGAGTAGACCGCCACGAGACAGAGCCGGAACCAAGGCTGAAGGTGTAACCCTGTGACGACCGCTGCGTAGCCTGGTCGTCAGCCCAAGAAGCGTCCGCGTGGCCGGTAAGGACCACTGGACTCCGCCCTCCAAGCACTAGCCCCATGCCCGACGTACTGCACAGGTAGCGCAATACCCTCTTCGCTGCAGCCATGTGCTCTGGTCGGTGTCTCCCAGGAGCAACATAGCGTGCAAGGATGCTCAGAGGGTATGCAAGGTCAGGTCGAGTGCAGGTCATCAGGTACATGAGGCAGCCAACAAGCTCTGCATACGGACCACTCGACTCTACGGACTCATCCGAAGGCAGAGCTGAGAGCGAGTGGCGAGTAGGCAGAGGAGTGGCCTGAGGCGAGGAGTACGTGAAGCCGAAGCGCTGAAGGACCTGCTGCACCATGTGTGACTGAGTCAAGGTAATGGTGCGGCGTGCTCTGTCCCGAGTGATCTGCAAGCCAAGGTAGCTGCGCAGTTCACCCAGGTCTGTGCACGTGTGTCTCTTCAGCAGCTCGGACTTCACGTAGGCGAGTCCAGCAGTGTCCGCTGTGGCAAAGACCAAGTCGTCGACGTACACGAGGATGTAGAACGGCGGCAGTGAAGTGTCGGTGCGCAGAAACAGCGACGGGTCAGCAGTAGAAGGAGCAAACCCAAGAGCCGCAAGCGTAGTCGTC